ACTTGAAAGTTTTGGCGGAAAAATTACTCACTGAACAGGTCGGTCATTATCAAAGAACAACCGTTAAACACAAATAGTTCATTTTTTAAATGCAAAATTTATGACAATTTATACTAGTGAGCTCACAAGATATGTATAAACCGCAACCATTCATACAATTAACGGCCAGACTTCATCAAGTGCGGCAAGCCTAGTGCTTTCCAGCCTAAGGTTAAAATCAGTCCCTGCAAAACATATAAAACTTACTTGTGTACCACGCAAAGTGACACAGCTGTGTTCGACTTGGTTTGCTTCTCTACATTATTACGAACTCACTAAATTCAAACAGCCTGAGATCAGTTTTGAACTTAGGCTCAACTGGAGAGAGCTTCTTGCTCATAACAGGATGGGTTATTCGCGACGACTCTCATACGCCTATTTGCACTTTTTCAGGTAAATTTAAGAGTTTGAATACCAGCAGATATTTACCAGTACTCGTAAATTACGAACTGAGTAGCTTTACACAGCTTTTCTCCAGCGTTCGTTGAAATGATACGGAGAACCTTGACACATTTAGCAAATGATATTGAGCATCATTTTCCAGTGTTACTTTTTAAATGCATAATTATAGTAATATTCTAACGACCATTTAATTACTGTGTGTTGCTTTGGATGTTTATCAGCAAGGATAATTGGGCAGTGCTGCAATGGAAAGGTGTAGTGATCGAAGACAATTGAAGGATGGGTATCAAGCGCTGTCCTTGCCGAATAGTCGTAAAATTATCGAATTGTGGATAAACTATTCTTTGGGCATGGGTCTAAGATACTTTTAAAGTGCTTTTTTATCGAAATTTCATTTCTCTGATTATTGATAGCCTTGTCTGTATAGTTTATGATGTCATGGGGGCAATTTTTGGGAACCAACTATGTGTTATCAGCGAAGCTGACTGTCTATAAAAAAATGATAACTAAGTAACAGTGTGTTTTGAGACAAAATATAATTTGCTTGCACAGTTGTACCCAACACAGAATACGGTAATTCTTCAGATCCGCGTGGTAGTGCAGCCCATCAGTTTTTATGCGGCATGTGCGTGTGTGTGTTTTTTGGGGATGAATGGGTGAGTGGGTGGATAAGTGGAATTTTCCACCCACTTTCAAATCAGCAAGTTGAAAACCTGGGAAGCGTAAATTTTGAGAGCGTGTTTCCATCACAAGTGTCATCCTTACAGCTTGAAATCATCCTTCCTATGCGGCTAGAACTCACGTACTGATGCCGAAAAAATATGCTAATTTTGTGACGGGAAAACTATTTCAGGAACCAGAAAAGCTGGAAGGCTGAAATTTCACACTAATTTTCCCTGCTTATGCGTGAACTAAAGTGTTCAAATTTAGCTATCGAGTACGCTTACACCACGCGTACAGCCACATAAAAGTTCACAATTGGCACTGCGACAACTCGAAAATAGTAGCTAAAAATTTGTTAGAATATTTATCGTCCATCTGTGAAGTCGTATATCTAAAACGACTTTCGATTTGCACTTGCGCCGACTTAGGCCACTTCAAAGACGTTTGTGCCGAAATGACTATTTTGCTTACGGACAAGCTGCGAGACTGCAACTTTGCAAGGATGTTCT